TAACTCATACAAAACACCAACCACACTAAAACCCCAATTCTATGCATACATGACCTTAATATATTATCACTTCAATTTACCATTAGTATAGTAATCAAACATAATTCAGTACATGAATTCAGATAATACAAAAGGAATCAATAACTAATTCATTCATAAGTACTCACATAGAGTAATATCATCAGCCTACAGGACTTAGAGATCACCTCTCTACCCTTATCCCTCATATATGTCTAAAGGAATCGACAATCTTAGTCCCCCTATACCTGGATTGACGATCTTGTGAAACAATAAGTTTCCTATAACTTCAACCACTAATTTGTGTCTTCCCTGGTGGTCTCTTATAGGTTTTCTCTAATAAGCGCTTTAGGTTTTAGAAAAGCACAATAACTTAACCCATTCCTTTTTTTTTAATTTGCCTCTAGGTTTAACCCAATGTTTAACCCAAACCTCCTGATTTACCTCTCCCCTTTTTATTTTATTATAAAAGATATTTCCCTTATAATATTCTAATTATTTATTATTCATTTTAAAAAAAATGAGATGTTACAAAGCCTAGTGCTTCGATGATTATTTCATAATCTTGCTCTGATAGTGTGACATTAGGATAAAAAGGCTTATGTTTTCTTTAGTTGATATAGTTAATTGTCTTATGACCTTTTATATTTTTTCGGAGCTTGTATAAATAGGTGATTTGTGTCTGGCTTTGATTTCTTTTGAAAGCTCAACTACATTTTCATTTAAGAGTTTTTATTATGATGGATATATGAGCCCTTTTATTAAGTGAAGTCCATTTAAGATTATTTATCTTAAAAGAAGAAAAAGCTTTCTATATTATGATGTGGGATAGAAGGGTGTCACACATTATAACTCTCAAGTTAACAAAATTGTATGACATAATATATGCAATTATATCAATTATCAACAAAAGTCATAAAACTACTATTTTTCCATAGGTGTGTTTTATGTTATTGTATGTGTAGAGTAAAGAGAAACATAAGAAGGAAAGCTTAAATTGTGTCTATCAAAAATCTCAATACTCTACACTTAAGTAGTAAAGTAAATGTAAGAATTGAATAGTGCAAACGAAGTAAAGCAAAGAACACAAAGTGATTTTATACTTGTTTATTTCAACCAACGAGATTATGTTCAGTTCTTGATCAACTTGATCAATTTCCACTATCTTTCACAAAGATATAAATATTCTTTACATAAGTAATTATTAGCTCAACCTAAATGTTATTTGATTTGTCTCTTTAAGCAAACTACCCAAGTATTCTTTGAGCAACAATATTTTTTCAGACTTCTACACTAAGTATTCTTTTAACAACATATTATTTCTAGAGAATTTAAAACTCAAAGATTAATTTGGGTAATAACAAAGAATCATCTACGAACCCAACGTGATAAACAATATCGTGCAAAGAATAACTTTATAGAGAAAGTATAAAAAAATGAAATATTTGTTTTGTTCCACTGCTTCTTTGAGCTTGTCCATGCTTCTTTATATAAGAAAGATATTGAGATGATTATTGTAAATCCTTGAGTCTCACTCATCAACTTGTTTCATTTTACTTCATTTTCCTTTCTTATGTGAAGATGTGTTTGTTGTTGCACTTAATGCTTATATTTAATGTGCTTCATGAATTTGTCACTTCTTATCTAACTAAGGATGTTGCTTATCAACTTTTGGCTACAAAAGGTAAGAAGTTGTAACCTAAGTTAGTCCTAAAAAATGTAGCTAACTTTGCATACTTCGAGGGATCTTTTGTCGTTTTTATGACGAAAAGCAAACCCCCTCATTTTTTATATGTTGTGAGTACCAACCAATTTTTTTATTCTTTTGATCTGTTAAGGTATAAGTTGAAAACAAATTATAGGCACATCAAAAATAATAAATTGATAATAAAAACATTTGTCTATGACAGACGATATATGTTTAGCATGATAGATGGACATGCATAAGCTTTTTCTATTGCATCTTAACTCGTGACCTTTTTGTCTTACAATTTTTTTTTTATGATTCACAAAAAATGTTATGTTTTTTAATATTAAAATATATTTTTTATTAAAAATAATTAAATTACATAATTTTTTAGGGATCCTAATTCGTTCTTTGATCTAACATTTCCCTCTTTTTTTAATATTGTGACAAACACAATTTTATAAAACAAAATTTTTAAGCATATAAAATATAGTCCGGTTCAATTTCAAACAATATATATTAGCATACATATTCCATGTTTAGAGAATGATCATGTAATTATAGCATATGTATATACGAGCAGATGTATATATGCACAATTATACGAGTTTCAAAGGAAGGCTTCCCTTGAGATGGAATATAAAAAAACAAAACCATTACTTGTTTCAAAAACAACAAGAAGCTTAAGGTTAGCAAGACTTGTCTTCATCTTGCTATTGTTTTTTTTTTTTTTTTTTTTTTTTTTTTTTTTTTTC